AACCCCCTATGCAATAGGCCTTAAGTTGGACATGGTGTCTCCCCACTGTGGAGCATGGTTGAACTGTGTTTGAGGGGCTCCCATTCGGGTCTGGGATGGCGGGGCAGCTGGCGTCAGGTGTCTGGTGCACGGCGTCCACGAACCTACCACAAACCTTTCTGGAGCTCCCATGTGCGGCGGCCAGGTGCTAAGTTTGAGCATCAGAGCCTGTTCGGACGCAGATTCTCTGCCTCCTTATGTTCTGATGCAACAGGTCAGTCATCGAGTCAGTATGACGCATGTTGGCGACCTCCAGTTCCTGAATTTGTCAGTGACTTTGACAGACCTGGTGGACAAGGCACTGTGTGCCCTGAAGGACATGTGTCTTAAGGCGCACAGTGCGCCCTGAAGAACATGTGTCTTCTGCCACTGTGTCTTCTGTTCCGCAAAGCTGCGGGAACCCTGCCCCAGGTATGTTGAATGTAGTTCCACTGAGACTGTTGGCAAGGTGTCTGGATGCTTGGCACTTCCCGATAGCTCCTCAGGACCGTTCAGCTCGGCTATGCGATTCAGTTTGCCAGGCATCCACCAAAGTTCAGTGGCATTCTGTTACCTCAGTGTGAGGTGAGAATGCTGCTGTTCTTCGAGCGGAAGTTACGTCCCTTCTGGCGAAAGACGCGATAAAGCCTGTCCCCCTGCCCGAGATGAAGAAGGGGTTTTACAGCCCTTACTTCATTGTACCCAAGAAGGGTGGGGGGCTCAGACCAATCTTGGACCTAAGGGTGCTGAGTAAGGCCCTGCACAAGCTCCCATTCAGACTGTTAACCCTCAAACACATGTTAGAGTGTAAGGTACCAAGATTGGTTTGCAGCAATAGACCTGAAGGATGCGTGCTTTCATGTCTCGATCCTTCAAAGACTTTTTTCGGTTTGCCTTCGAAGGACAGGCATATTAGTACAAAGTTCTTCCCTTTGGGCTGTTCCTGTCTACTCGCGTCTTCACGAAAGCCGTGGAGACTGCCCTTGCCCCTCTTAGGGAAGTGGGCATTCGCTTTTTTATTCTTGACAACTGGCTTATTCTAGCTCACTTGTGGGAATTGGTTTGCACATGCAGGGACATGGTCTTTGACCACCTAGCCCGATTGGGACTTTGAGTCGACTGAGAGAAGAGCAAATTCTCTACTGTGTAGAGTATCTCTTTTTTTGGACTCTTTAACTATGACAGCACACCTCTTAGAGGACCGTGCTCGGTCTGTGCTGAACTGCTTGAGAATGCTCAAGTACAAGATCTAATAAGTGTAAGTGACAGTTTTATCAGTCACTTTGCTCATTCCAAAGCTCATTTACTCAAGTTAATTAGAACTTTAAATTAGCTGACAACATTTACTAGCAACACACAGTAACATTAACTGCCACTACACTGAAATATGCTGTTGCTAATGGTGATTAGCGTCTCACTTTATCACACTACTATCTTGATGATATGTATTTAAAGGTATAGTTCACCCAGAAATGAAAATTCTGTCATAATTTACTCATGCTCATGCCTTTCCAAACCGTAAGACTGAGGGGCATTGCCAAATTGAAGAGTTTCTTGACTTTTATAGATTTGGAGACTGTGATTCATGCTTTTATTTCATCCAGACTGGATAATTGCAATTCTTTATATCTGGGGCTGTCTAAGAATCTGCTTGCTCGGTTGCAATTAATGCAAAATGCAGTGGCCAGACTGCTGACTGGCACGAGGAAATGCTCTAGTATATCTCCGGTGCTGGAGTCTCTGCACTGGCTGCCTGTTGATTTTAGAGTGCAATATAAGGTCTTGCTAATGGTTTTTAAAAGGTTACATGGTCTTGCCCCAGAGTATATTTCTAGCCTGTTACAATGGCAGTGTGCTGCTAGAGCGCAAAGATCGTCTCAGAGTCTTATTCTGCATGTTCAGAAATCAAAATTAAAGACTAAAGGGGATCATGCCTTTTCTGTGGCAGCTCCACGTCTCTAGAATAGCCTCCCTCCTCATATTAGATCCTGCAACTCGTTGGAATGTTTTAAAAAGGGTGACCATATGTCCTCTTTTTCCCAGACATGTCCTCTTTTCAGACCTAAAAAATTGCATCCGGCTGGGATTTCTAAATCGCCCAAAATGTCCGGGATTCGGCTTTTGCTTTCTACAGTCGCCATTCATTGTGTGCGTTTTTGTTTTAGAGCCCTGCGAGGGATTGTTTTATTAATCCTGCTCCCGCTGAATTTCTGACCATTACCGCCCGCTCCCGTGATTTTTGTGTCCAGTCCCACCCACTCCCGCAAACATTCTAATATTGCATATAATTTTATATACTTCCACTTTCGATGTAGCGATCACGTGCATTCTGTGTAAAGGAAGATCAGATATTTGTCAGTGAGCTCAGGAACTGTTGAGCAGCAAATCCTCCAGCATGATCTGTTAGTCATCTCTCCTCTCAACCCGTGATCAGTTAAATCTGACTCCTGCAGCTCGTGTTGGATGCAGGGTTGTGAAGTCCACTTTTTTTTTTTCACGTTTTTTTTTTTTTTTCGAAGGAATTGGGCTACTTTTAAACTTACCATCTGTTGATTTTCCCCGTTTGAAATGTTGCATAAATTACATTTGACTGAAATGCTTGTATTTAAACATTTTGCATTCTGTGATAAAACTGTGCTAAATGTTAAGTTTTGTGAAGGATGGCCACTGGTAAGAAGCTTTTTAGCTGTGTTTATGATCAATATGCATAACAGTGACTGTAAATGTAAAATATTTATTTTAGGTATGGAAATTACATATTTTGAGTTGATATTTGGGATATGGTCACTGCACTACTTTGGGCGCTACTTTGGGCATTAATTTAACCACCAACCAACCACACCCCAGCCCCCCGCACCCACTGTCCTCTTTTTGGAAAACTAAAATATGGTCACCCTATTTTAAATCCTTGCTGAAAATGCATCTCTACTCTATTGCTTACCTGCCCCTAGGGGTCTGGAGTCTGAGTAGTGATCTGTATTGGGTGTGTTCTTAATTTTTGTTTGTTTTGTGGTAATGTTGAGAGTGTAAATCACTTTGGTCAACATGTGTTGTTTTTAAATGCGCTTTAGAAATAAATGTTGATTTAATTTTGATTTGATTATACTTTTGTTCATCTTCGGAACACAAATTAAGATATTCTTATGGAAATCGGAAAGATTTCTGTCCCTCCATTGACAGTCTACGCAACTACCACTTTGACACTTCAAAAAGTTCATAAAGAGATCGTAAAACTAATCCATATGAGTTGAGCTGTTTAGTCCAAATTTTCTGAAGAGAACTGATCACTTTATATGATGAACAGGTTTAATTTAGACTCTTATTCACATATTTACATGACAGTGAGCTTAAACAGAAGCTCAACTGTACTTGCTTGACTTGGGTTTGGAACGACATGAGTAAATGATGATAGAATTTTCAGTTTTGGGTGAATTACTTCTTAAAGGATTCATATAGGTGTTTATTTTCTGCAGGTTGCAGCTACTTGTTGGTAAAATTCTAATTGTGTGTACAGCAAACAAACCATTTGAACTTCAATTAACTATCATAAAGACAAAGATTTGTTGATCCACGTGTAGCATCCACTATAAAATAAATTAAATGCCCTTATTAGCTGATTTTAATATAATACCAATTAAACATTTAAAAATATTCATTATTTAAATTTTTTACATATTTATTTCTATAAAGTCAAATATTTTTAGACAGGGCTATAAAGGACATGAATATAAAACATAATATCAGTTGTTACAAATATTGCCAGTGTTTTTTTTTTGTTTAGTTTTTTTGCTTGATATAAAATAATCCAGATAACAGCCATTACTAGTGGACCGACCATGAGTAGTAGTGCGGAATCGCTGTTTGCGGTCAGATGACCAGCTGCAGCACACAGTTACAGACACACCGACTCATACAGACATACTTTTTTAAGCATCTATATGAAGACATAAACTGTTTAAAAGAAAGGAATGAAATGTATTTATTTAGTAATATTTGTAGGCTGTTAATTATTATTAGTGTATTTTTATTACCGTGTATGAAAAAAAATAATGAATGGTAGAGTTTATTAAAGGGGTCATATGATGCTTTTTTAAAGATCATTATTTTGTGTATTTGGTGTAACAGAATATGTTGACATGCGTTAATGTTCAAAAAACACATTATTTTTCAAATACTGTACATTATTGTAGGTCCTCTATGCCCCGCCTCTCTCAAACGCTTCGTTTTCTACAAAGTCCCTCCTTCCGACAAGCGCAGTCTGCTCTGATTGGCCAGCTGATCCAGTGCATTGTGATTGGCCGAACACTGCAAGCACTCGTCGGAAATGTAACGCCCCTTACCATAATCGCGAGCTTCATCTTTCAAAATAAATGTAGACAGAGCCCGAAAGGGGAACAGAGTCGCGTGACAGACACAGTGATGAAGCTGGTATGTGTTTGTGATGTGACCGCTCTCTCGCGCTCTCTCTCTTTCTCTCTCTCTCTCTCTCTCGCTCGCGCGCACACACAGTGAGCCGTTTTAGGGGGGTGTGGCAGAGTCTTAACTTTGATAAAGTATATCTCTTTGGTTTTGAGATTTTAGTCTTTGCAACTTCAGGGATCTTATCTATGCACAATCAGCTTGTAACACTCCAAAGAGAAAGGAAAACTTGAAATCGCATCATATGACCCCTTTAATACATCTATGCATTATGTTTGATGTAATGAAAAAAAAAAGTTGTATAAATTAGTATCCAAAATTAGTTTAAATGTAAAAGTGCACATATAAGACTAATAAGATTTACCTTAAAATTACAAAGAAAAATATTAATTATTAGTATGGACATAAAACGTTATATGATGAGCTGAAAAGAAAGAAAACTACTGAAAAAAAGTGTGTGTGTGTGTGTGTGTGTGTGAAATTAGTCTTCGTTTACAGTGTTACATTTATTTATTATAATTATTGTTCTATAATTATACATTAATGTTTTTCCCTTTTGATAGGCCCTATATTTAATTGCAACAAACGGCACTCCAGAGCTACAAAATCCTGAGCGGCTATCCTCAGTGTTTCGAGATTTCCTGAACCACTGTCTGGAGATGGATGTAGACCGAAGAGGGTCAGCTAAGGACTTGTTGCAGGTAACAAACTATGTTTCAGGCATCTGTATTACTGTAAATTCCAATAAATATAAATTAAACTCATGTTTCATGACATATTGAGAATTTGTATGCGACAGGACCAGCGGCAGTTTCTGTGCTACATTTGCACAGTCTACAGTTCTTCACACTGCTCTATATTATCACTTTAATAGATTATAGAAATACTTGTTCCTATAACCCTATTATGTACACTACAACTTCAGCTGACAAGCTAAAAACACCAAAAATTTCTGCCAAAGTGCTAATATAAGATTGGTGAATTTTAGCAGGTTTGACTGTTTAGTATTGTTTGTTTTGTGTTGCTTTCCACTGATTCCAAAAAATGCAAAGTTGTTAACACAATTTGTCATGTGTGAACAAGGTGCTCCCTGCATGCCTGCTTATTAAAATATACATTAATTTGTTGTGCTTCACACAATAGCCACCAGATGGAACAACATTCTGTAGCTCAAAACACAGGAGCTAGGCAAGATCAAACTTTTCTTGGCAACTTCAACCTGGCAGTGGTTTGTCTTGAATCAATCTTCAATTTTGCCTTGGGTTATAGATTGTTACATTATATGTATAACATAGAATAACTATCATTCTTTAAAAGTGTCCAATAATTGGTCAACTGCATGTTTATTCAGAGTAAACTTAAAATATCCACAATAAAGTATGAAAAATAATAATAGAAACACACATTTAGTAATGCTGACATTGGAAAATCCATTTACACGTGGCTGCATAAGTGTAATGCAGTGTATCATTATTTTATGTGCTTTGTAAATACACAATTGCTCCCTTCAGGTATTCATGAGATAATACTTAGTCATGCAAAATACCTATTACAACCTTTACACTCAATATGCTTTTGTTGCATATTGAGTGTAAAGGGTTGTAATAGGTATTTTGGGGTGCAAATATCTGCCACTATACCATATACTAGTATAAATAGCATCTAATTACTGTTACTCTTATTGCAAGCAAAGAAAATATTACTATTTTTTACATTGTAAATAGAATCTGATAATATAATTTGCACGTAGTGTAACTAGAAACTATTGCTATTTGCTCTTAGCATCTGTTGCTAAGAAAATATGCCATTTTCACTTAAGGGCTTTTCACACTTTAAATTTTTAACCCTGGGTCATCCTAAACCCTGGATAAACGGAATAACTTGCCAGTTATTAAAAATAAATGTTGCAGCGTAGGTCTTTAGCCGTTTTAAGCCTCATGAGATGCACAAAGGCAAGAAAACAAAGACAAAAGTACAAAAGAAAGAAAACAATGAGCAAAATATGTGAATATTTCTTTTAATTTCTTTTAAGTGTGGAGAGACTAGTGTTTACTTATACAGTAGTGCCATTGTATTATGATGATTACAGTTAGTTCCTTAAATACTCTGTTCCTTAAATTTCTGACCGTGCCATCCTATTTGTCTTGAACAGACTTTTCTGACCATAACTGTAAGAATAATACCGTCTCCCCATCACTCAAGGTCACACACTTTCCGTCTTTTGACATTTCTTACTTTTCTCTCACCGGCTGCTGTTTACACGATGCGCGTTTCCTGTTACTGACGTGACATGAGCCTCGCTGCTCAATTTCTTACATTCCTAAACCCCAGGTTAACGTTCTTATTTGCATATTTGCGGTGTCACTGTCACTGATTGGACGAACAGCAGGCAACCTGTTTACACAGCTTTTTCTGCGTCTTGCCAGTTATTAAAAAAATGTCGCCGCGTAGGTCTTTAGCCGTTTTAAGCCTCATGAGATGCACAAAGGCAAGAAAACAAAGACAAAAGTACAAAAGAAAGAAAACAATGAGCAAAATATGTGAATATTTCTTTTAATTTCTTTTAAGTGTGGAGAGACTAGTGTTTACTTATACAGTAGTGCCATTGTATTATGATGATTACAGTTAGTTCCTTAAATACTCTGTTCCTTAAATTTCTGACCGTGCCATCCTATTTGTCTTGAACAGACTTTTCTGACCATAACTGTAAGAATAATACCGTCTCCCCATCACTCAAGGTCACACACTTTCCGTCTTTTGACATTTCTTACTTTTCTCTCACCGGCTGCTGTTTACACGATGCGCGTTTCCTGTTACTGACGTGACATGAGCCTCGCTGCTCAATTTCTGATTGGCTGTCTGTTGCCAAGTGTCCAGCAGCAACAAGCAAACACTGCTCCGTTTCACACTGAACAAACTTAGGACCGCAATGCGGTGCTAACCCTGCTCCAGAGCAGGGTTTCATAACCCAGAGTAAAAAGCGGTGCTAACACCGCTTTCAAATTAGAGGTGTGAAACGTTTCTTTACCCGGGGTTAAAAGCGGTGTTTAGAATGATGATAACCGGGGGTTAAGGGCAGTGTGAAAAGCCTTTTAGTGTAAATGGCTATTTGCACTTTGCGTAAATAGCATCTATGGCTGCGCTTAATGCAAATAAATAATAAATAAAAAGAGTCGCCTATCTGTGAGCAACACAGTGTTGTTTGGTTCCTGAATGAATCAGCATTTTGAACAAATTGGCTGAGCAAATGATTGATTTACATTCATAAAAAACACTTGCTTCATTTCTGAATGAAACAGTCCTTTTGAACGAATCAAATGATTCCATGACTCATTCATTAAAACAGTAATTTGCCGACACCTATTGGTGGTTTTAGTTTCATATTTAAAAACATAATTTATTTTCTCAACATCATTTCATAATTACTATGTTCAAAATGTTATATTTAAAACATTAATCTCATAACATTATTTATGCATTTATAATTGTTTTAAATGCATTCATGCCACCCATTTATATTTAGAGGTGGTTAATATAAAAACAAGACATCAAAATTAATATGCCCCATATGTACCGTAAGTATTCCAAATTATTTAGATTAAGTTACAAAACTTGAGTAATCTAACAAATACATTACAAATGACTTTTTAAACATGTATTTTGTAATCTGTAGTGAAATAAAAGTAATTTAAAAGTAATCTTCCCAACCCTGCTTGTAGCATTAGGCAGTACCTGCAACCCAATCAGGTTGCACAGGTAGTCCAGCTCCTCCAGGATGGCACATCCATACTTGCCGTCGCAAGGACGTTTGGTATGTCTCCCAGCACAGTTTCAAGAACATGAATGATATACTGGGAGACAGGCTGTTACATGAGGAGAGCTGGACATAATCATAGAAGGGCAACAACCCAGCAGCAGGACCTATATCCTCTCTTTTGTGTGAGGAGGAACAGGAGGAGCTCTACCAGTGTCCTCCAAAATGACCTCCAGCAGGCTACTGGTGTACATGTTTCTTACCAAACTGTCAGAAACAGACTTCCTGTAGTGGGACCTGTGATCACAGCCCAGTACCATGCAGCCCTACTGGTATTTGCCAGAGAACACCAGAATTAACAGACCTGCCACTGGTGCCCCAAATTCTTCACGGATGAGAGCAGGTCAGGTTCACACTGAGCACATGAGACAGACATGAAGGAGTCTGGAGATGTCATGGGGTTATAATGCTTCCTACAACATCATCCAGCATGACCGGTTTGATGGTGGGTCATTGATGGTCTGGGGAGGAATATCCTTGGAGGAACGGACAGACCTCCACATGCTACCCAACAGTACCCTTACTGCTATTAGGTACCAGGATGAAAACCTCAGAGCCACTGTCAGGCCTTAGGCTGGTGCAGTTGGCCTTGGGTTCCTCCTGGTACATGGCAATGCCCGGCGTCATGTGGGCAGAGTGTATAGGCAGCTTCTGGATGATGAAGTTATTGATGCCATTGACAGGCCGTCACGCTCCCCAGACCTGAATCCAATCAAGAACTTCTGGGACGTTATGCATCGGAGGATCCGAAACCACCAAGTAGCACAACAGAATGTCTAGGAGTTCACTGAAGCCCTGATCCAGGTCTGGCAGGACATCTCCCACCATCTTATCAGGAGCATGCCCAGACATTGTCAGGAGTGCATACAGGCACGTGGAGGCCATAACCCAAGGGGTGTCAAACTCAGTTCCTGGAGGGCCGCAGCCCTGCAGAGTTTAGTTCCACCCTGCTGCAACACACATACCATGTAGTTTTCAAATAAGCCTGAAGGACTGGATCAGGTGCATTTAATTAGGGTTGAATTTAAACTCTGCAGGGCTGTGGCCCTCCAGGAACTGGAGTTTGACACCCCTGCCATACACAGTACTGACTTACATTATGAGTTGATAACTCCGATGAATTTCATGCAGGTTGGATCAGCCTGTAATTAAATTTTTAAAGAAAATCGCTTTCACAGACTTTTACCTTAAATTACCTGCCCAATTCGATCTGAGCAGCTGAGTCTATAGCCATCTTCAAGAAACGACTTAATGACACATCTCTTCCATCTGCACTTGACCCACTTTCTATTCTATTTCTATTCTATCTACTTGTTTGTTTGTTTGTTTTTATTAATAAACTTGACCCTCTAACACTTGCACTTTCTATTCTATTTCTATTCTCTCTACTTGTTTTCTTTTTATTTATATTCAAATACTTGACCCTATAACACTAGCGTTCTCTATACTTTTTCTATTCCATCTGCTTGTTTTCCTTTTTATTATAATAATTATTATATTACTTATTGTAAATTATTATAATAAATTAATTTTTATTTTAATAACTTGTACTTTATTAATGCATTAGACTAGATTTGTCACAGCACTTACAATACTGTTTACTGTCTCTTTGCAACAATATGTATGTACAGATGTGCTATAGACTAATTATGCAAGGGAATGTGGATAGATGTAAGATATATTAAATCAATAACATACATGTAATAAATATAAGGATAGATAGTTGGGTATTTCACATGTTTTATTGCACAGAGAACATTTAACTGTTCATGAGGTAGATGGCCTGAGGGAAGAAACTTCTCCTATGTCTGGCCTTTCTGGTGCTCAGTACAGAACTACTACAGAAGCGCCGGCCAGACGGCAACAGTTCAAAGAGGAAGTGTGCTG